TCGGAGCCTACAGGCCAGGGGGAGGTCAGCTGTTCTGCCCGCTAGCCAGTTCCCAGTCCCACCTGCTGCCACCCACCCACTTCCCCATGGTTCCTCCTTTGCCTGCAGGCAGAGGTGGGAGGATGGGGGACGGGGGGAGAGGAGGGACTGAGAGGTGGTCAATGCACCTCATGGCGACTGGTTGATCGGTCGTTCAGGTCATTCTGCTTATGGTCCCTGGCCTTTTATTATATAGGATATCCTGAGAGACAGCATAGTGCAGAGAGGGACAAAGGCCTGGCCTTTGGAGTTAGTTTTAATCTTGGACCCAAGAATAGTACTGAGCTTGGTTTCTCATCTACAAAAGGTAGTTACAATGCTCACTCCTGAAACTGTTCAAAAGATCAAAAAAAGCTACCTTTTTTTAAAGTTATATGTACATATAACTTAATCAAATATTTAATGGTCAATAGATAAATGTCAGCTGTTTCATTATAATCATTGTTGATAATAAAGTGAGATATTTATATACACATATATAGTTGCATGTTTAAAGTAATCATAGGAAGGTCTAATCCAAAGGCACACTGAGTGCTCAGAATAGGCTTCATGGCATTGTGTTGGGGAAATAATGACATTCCATGAAGTGCACTGTGAAAATTTACTTTGCGATTAACCTACTCAGAATGAATGCACTTCTTAAACCTACAGTATCTAAAGGCAGGATTTCATATTGAAAAAAATTAATGGGCACACACATACAAACAAATATCTTTTTCCATTATCGTTAATCTTCTTTATTATCCCAGTATATCTGATTGAGTCTAAGAGATCCAGCTTTTCTTTAAATATATTGATTAGATATAAAGAAAAAAATGGTTGTGCTCACTTCAGCAGCACATATACTAAAATTGGAATGATACAGAGAAGATTAGCATGGCCTCTGTGCAAGGATGACATGCAAATTCATGAAGCATTCTAAAAAAATAAGAAGGTTAATGGAATGAAGGTATAGAATAAACATTCTTCCTCAGACTTCTCAGTTTCAGTAACCCAGTTATATATGCTTGCAAAACAAAAAAAGCTAATAGGTAAATAGTCTATTTACACACACGGAATAGAATAAACAATTCAAAAAGCTTCAACTTCAGCAGAATTTTATATTTATACACTAGAGGCCCAGTGCATGAAATTCGTGCATGAGCAGGGTCCCTAGCAGCTTCCGGCAGCCGGCCGGGGCCTCCCTTCTCCTGCCCCTCGCTGCCTGCCACTGCTACCAGCCAGGGCCTTCCCTCAATTGGCTGGCCAGCCACGCCCCCTGGTCGAACTCTGGGCTAACTCTCAGTCAAGGGGACAATTTGCATATTAGGCTTTTATTATATAGGATAGTCAGAGTTTTTTTAAAAAAATGCTTATTTCCAAAATGATATAATCTTTTGTGGCCAGCCCCCCCCTGGTCGAACTCCGGGCTAACTCTCAGTCAAGGGGACAATTTGCATATTAGGCTTTTATTATATAGGATAGTCAGAGTTTTTTTAAAAAAATGCTTATTTCCAAAATGATATAATCTCTTGAGATGTGCATACTTTTTCTTAACAGTTGGAAAAATATGTTTGGACTCTAAGTGAAGCAATTTCTAGAGAAAACACATGATCCGCCCTGAAACTAAAACTCTAAGTACATATACAGAAATGTGTACAACATTCCCAAGATATATGTAAACAGGGAGAGCCACTTAGTAAATGTATTGGGTTTTGGTAATAATATAATCCACTCTCATTAGGCATCTCCCTCTTGTGCATTAACATGTGACTTCATACTCTCACATAACATTTCATAACAGTGAAATAAAAAGCCCCTCCAGATTGCAACTGTAAGATAATCAGATTCTGTGGTGCTCATTATAACTGCAATTATGTAACAAAACTCTCCGAATATAGTTCCAGTTATTGCAGTTATTAATCATTCTGGTTTTGTTTCAAGCACTTGCTTTATAGTCTGCTGGATAGACTCCATTATTCTACTAGCTGAATGTCGCAAGTCAAACATGTGCATGTGAATCTGCTCTTCTAATGGCCTTTCAACATAACTCCCCCTTTCAATCTGCATTTGTGAATACAAAAATCGTGCAGAAATAAAGCTGATGTCAGTAGAGTCACTGACCTTTGCAGTAAACAGAAGACAGTCCTTAACAAAAAACAACTTAGCCAGTAGGAAACATATTTTGCTAGAACTAGAAACAGAGCTGCTTAAGAAGTTAGTCTCAGAATACCAATCAGTTCTTAAGAAAAAGGGGGAGGAAAACTCTCAAAGAATCTGTATATTTGAGAAGGAGACAAATCCTAAGAGGGCCAGCAAATGTGCATTTGT